TCATAAACTGTATGAACACCTCGTGACTGAAAATTCCAACGTGTTTGGGAAGATCTTGGCAATCTGCGATTAACTATTTCATCCAAAATTTTTGTTCTTTGAGGAGACGTCGAAAAAAAAGAGCACAATCCAGATAAATTATGGAAAAATATTCTAGCCTGCTTATTGACAGAGCATGCGCTTGTCATAATTAGATTTAACTGGTGTGCATAGCAATGAACATAATTTGCAAGTGGATAAGTTTCCTTAATAATTTTTTGAACGCCATTCAATTCACCACTCATAACAGACGCACCATCATGGCTTTGAGCTATTAATTTGTTTGGATTTTGATCTAGTAATGGATTTACAACATTTAAAACGCATGCAGCGATTGATTTGGCATCGTGTCCGTCGGGGACGTAAAATCTCCAAAATCTCTCAACTGGTTGTCCTTTACACAAATATCTGAAAATAATAACTAACTGAAATTCACAGGCTACGTCCGTCGTTTCATCGGCAATTACTGCAACAAAAGGAGAATTTGCAATCTCCTTCTTAACTTCTTCATGATAAACATCTAGCATTCACTCAAGAAGCTCGTTTTGAGTTGTTTTTGAGCTACCCTCAAAAAGTTTGGCACTTTGAATATGGACTTTCAATTCGTTGTCTAATTCGGCGCTAAAATTCACCAGCTCCTTAAATATGCCTCTGTTTTCCGAATTTTCCTTTTCATCATGACCCCTAACTCAAATGCTCCACAAAACCTTATACAATTAATAATTTTATTCAATACATATCGATTCTTATCCACTTGATTATTATGTTTAATTAGATCATTGCGATAAGCCGAATTGAGTTGAGTCCTTATATTTAATTTACCAAGAATAGAAAAGCTAAAAACATTATTCATATGGACTTTAGATTTTTCGTGGGTCTTCATTTTATCCCATATATGTATAAGATCGTCTGTACCTTTTTTTGGCCAAGTCTCGTCACCTCCAAATAGAACACATACAAAACAAAATAGTTTATTCGTTTCTTCACAACCACATATACAGCTGTTTTTATCATACACATTTTTATTAAATTTGCGACAGCGCGATTTTTGTCCGCTACCACTTTGTTTCTCAATTTTTAAATCGGGTATTGGCCGTCCTAATTCTTTAATTTGCAGTTTTTGATCCAGCGAAAAACCACTAAGTGAGTTTTTTAATATCCCGATTTTATTCATTTTCACTAGTTTTAATAAAACAGTAAAAAATATGATCACAAAACAGAGCAGTTCATTAACACTAGACGTACAAAAACAAAAACGTTATTTCTCACTTTTCAGGTAAAAAAAGACCGAAATCAGCACTAGACGTAATCATAACCAAACGACCGACCGAACAAAAACACCGCCGATATCATTTGATAACGAATTACGACTGATGATGTGCCTGGCACAAATTATACTTGTCTTTCGCTATTCACCTCATATAAACATGTCATGCGTAGCGTTATCTCTGTCGCTCGTATGCGATGCTGGTAAAATTTCTCTCTTTTTATTTGGACCGGCCCTAAATTGGCACAAGTTGATGACGCCAAGGTCAAGGCATGCTCGTCTCGTCGCGTCGGTCGGGTGCTTGCGGTGTTGTCACGTTGTCAGTGTTGTCACTTCATATAATTTATACCAAAAAAAATGAAAAAGCAGAAAATAAAGTAAAACATTGAAGATTGAAAAAAATATTCTTTTTGAAGAAGACAAGGTAGTGCCATGGCACCGTGGCACTACCTCACGAGCCGCCACTGTAATTGAATGAAAAAATCTGCCTTGGAAACAGATCGGCAGCCAAAAAACTAATTTTTCATACCGTTAAAAATGAATAAAACAAATTATTTCATTACAAAACTCAAAAACTGCCTTTGCTGTTTTTGTGATGAGTACATACCTAACAGAACACAGAACAGTAAGCGCTGCTTCGTCTTTTGCAAAAAATAAATTTGAAATATACCATATCGACATCTTTAATTTAATAAAATATAAAATGAAAAAGTACCACTGTTATATAATATAATATGAAACTAACAAAGCAGACAGTATAATTAAATAGATACCTTAAACAAAAACGAATAATATTACAAAAATGGCGAAAGGAACGAACTAATCACATACATAAGTTTGGTAACACAAGGGAAAACTAAGCTAAAGGAACGGGATAAGCAATAGCACCGATATATTCTATTCAAATATCGGAATCTACGACATCCATTTGCTCATGGTCCACCAAATCTTAAGACGTTTCTGAGTCTGGTAGGGTTTACCAAAACAACTTTCGGTTTTCCGGCATTAATGTTAAAATAATCACTTTTTCTTTTTCACTTCGGTAGCCTTTTTTATATTCTAGATTTGCCATTTCTGCTTTAGCATGGTGGAAATTTAGCTGATATTGAATTTTATCGTCTTCTTTATTTTGTGTATTCTTTAACATTTGGCACTCTTCACAGATATCAGATTTGGGTTGGTAAAGAGAAATATTCACTTTCTTCAAAACTTGACGGTATATTTCGATTTTGCAAACGGATGGATGTACAAAATTATCATACATTTTCTTATATGTCAACTCTCTTGGTTAAATACCTAACATTAGGGGCATTCTTCCTCCGATAGTGACTCACTGATGACTAAAATGACTCAATATGTTATTATATCGCGATTGGATTGGTTACGGCAGCCACCTCTAGGTTCCTCTACCTGATCTCCACAAGGACCTTTTTCAATTACTCCCACTAATTCTGTTATTACAGAATCGTTGCTATACCCTGAAGTATTCAACAAAGTATGTCTGCATACCTCTATGTCCGTAGAATCTTGTAGATAAATAAGTATAACGCCTTGATTCACACCTCTTACGTTTGGCTAACTGGGTTCTACATTTAACAGGAACCACCTTTATTTGCTTGTACAACCAGTTTCGTCTACTCGTGAACTAGCTTTTTCTTGGTATTCATTTTTCTCTTCTTTACCTTAATTTTAATTTTGTCATCAGTTTATTCGCTATCGCTAGAATATGGGGAAGTACTGCGCTTTCTATGCGATTAAATTTCAAATCTTCAATTTCTCGTGCCAAATAGTTAAAAGAGTAAAAAGCATTCAACCGTTTTAGGTAAATTTCATTTTGATTTTCACTCCCATAGTGAAACACAGCAAGTTCAAATTTATTAAAAACTCGATTTTGACAAAAATGTCAGTTACTGTGTTTGGTAATGGGACAGCCGCCCTATTTCTTAGAAGCTTGTCATAGGATTGCGATAAATATATTATATTGATTTTTCAGGCAAATCGACTGGAACCCATTTTCCATCATATGTTGTCGAGATCATATCCAGTCGATAAAATATTTCCGGATGATTAGTCTTTTTAGCGTGATCTCCGGGTTTTATTTTACTTCGAGTGGATAATATTTTTGGACGCATAAAATACTCTTCCACGTAGTAAGTTCTAGGAAAGAGCACAACCTGCAAGGCTTTTGCAAAAAGCCTAGGGTTTCCTACGGTTTTTGCATTTCGCGTTATGACCTGCACGGTACGGGTATCATGTAAAGAACCTATAAAACGTCAAAAAAACCTATAAGATGTCAACTTTCAGACTACGTAGTTTTTAGAGCGCAAACAGTCATTCCACGTTTGCTCACTAGGATCGTTGTGAACGTCCATCTATGGAGGAATCACTCAACTAAACTACGCATTATTGGTTGTATAGTTTTGTGAGGCTGAAAGATCCGGTCTGTAGTTTTTATCTCTGAGAAGAAAGTTGGTTGAATAGCAAGATCGCATCTGGATGATTATGTGTATTGGTCTGCATGTGTATAAAATCGGTGATATTTGCTGTGTGAGAAAATCATTATCTACTGAATATGCCAAATATGACGGGTTATTTATATGTTGTGCTTTCTGAAGAGAGGTTATGTCCAAAATTATAAATTACGAAAAACAGGAGAATTACGAGAAATCATCACCGCGCCCGCGTTGTGTGTAATTATATTAGCATGTATATGGCTTGTAATTCGACAGTGTACAGTGAATATAATTATTTCTTATCTCTCTCATTTTTGAAATTCAGCAAATTTGTATATGTAATTTCTAGAATGGATAAGAAAAAGTGGATGCGCAACTAATTTCTACCTTTGAATCTCAATTAAGTGTATTTGAGACAAGAACCCAATGTAATTATCATCAACACATACAACGTACAGCTTAGACCTCCAGGAATGCCATCTCAGAAGCAGATCACATCAAAGCCAAATATTGATAATAAGCCTCATGACGTTCAGGCAACACGTACAACTAAGTGCTAAGGTAACATATTGTAGAATAACCTACATAATGTCAAAAAAAAAACAGCATAATTTCAAAAAAAATTGGCATAATGTCCCTTTTCAAGATACGTGATACCCGTGCAGGTATTCCTCCAAATAAGAGGCCTGTTGCCATTACCAAATGACACTTACGCCACTTTAATAAACGATGATAAAGTCGTTAACCGGGATAACTTAAGTAAATTAATTAGTTGTTTATGAACACTAATAGCAAGGCATCTATGTAGAGACGCTTATTGCGGAATTTCAAAAAATGGTGGATGAGCTATGTAGACTAAGAGTGGCCCTCTTATTATAAATGGTGAATGCTCCTATATACGCTTGAGCCACATTAGTTGTGATAATTCAGGGTGGCCCAAAGTAAACGATAGGGTTAAATGGTTTATAGCTTTTCTATTTGAACAATTATTAGAACGATAATAACAAATCGATTTTTTAAATGTGCTATACTCACGAGAAATTAGTTGTGAAAGTTGATATCAGCAAGTCGTGGCCATTTTTTGTTTCACATACCTACTCGCGCTCTTTCATAGCGTCTACCTTTATTAAAGCGTTATCAGTGAAAAAAGCATGTTTGAAAAAATGGACTTACGGGGCTTTTGTACTGAGCGATACAATAAAAACTAATATTTTAAGCTAAACATGACATATTTGTTCCAGATCTCAGTTCCTCCAGCACTACCGCGGCGCCGGAGGTTCCTCCTCTTCGTCGTCATCTTCCATGGGCTTCCGTAGTTTGGACAGCGCCTTCAGCAGGGCCAACGCAGGCAGCAGGGCCATGCCGAGATTGTCCGAGAACACCGACGACTCATCTTCGGTGGACAGATACCAAGAGGCGGACGATGAGGATAACAATTCGTCGTCTATTAACGTCAGCATGCTGCCTTTGCACACGGTGAGACCTTCTGACGCTATACTCAGGTGTCTTTATACGAAATTATAAAAACCAACTACCAGCATTAAGCCAATCCAAATACCAAAATGGAAGAAAGAGAGAGAGAGAGAGGGAACATAGCTCTTAATGTAACTCCTGAGCTTTTTATGTCCATTCTCTGGCCGAATCAAACCACATATAAGTTTTAATTTATGTCTAAGCGCTTTCAGGTGTTGCCTGTAATCAAATTGCCAACGTATCGCCGTTTATTTTTACGCCTTCGTCAGGGCAACAAAAAATGTTCAAAAAAAGTATATTGAAAATTCAAAGTTTTAAATGTAGCTCCCAACTAGCAAAGTAGTGCTATAAGCTTTTGGTAAAAGAACCGTTCAGTTATAAAAGCTCCCTATTGTTGTTGCCTGAACACCAAAATGCTGGCTTAATGTTGTGTGGAATGCAAATTTCCTTTCTGCAACATATTTGCTCTAAAATGAGGTGTTTAAAATATTCTTTAGCCTAGTTATACAGCACCTTATAGGACAAATTTTTAACTGTTGCATAAACGTTTATACAACTATTTTATATGGCATACTTGCACGTTAGTCTACATGGTTGTGTTGTGGCATCCATGGTAACGTTTAGAAAACAAACCCGAGCCGTGTTGTTTTGCTGTGCAAATTTACTACTTTAGCCAACAAATTGCTCCCAACGGAAGCACTTATACGACTGTTCTTTAGTAACTGTTAAAGATTGTACATATGCAACAATATTGCTGTGCTCGGCAGACATTTGTTGCTAAATATGTTGGTTTACATCTTCACCATAACCTAACTTTCTGCTGTCATATTTTTGTTAAAATGCAATGTTTTAAGACAAACAACGCATGCATATTAGGTTTTGTTTACTGTTCAAACAGAAGACACAGATCTGGTACAAATTCTGGGTAAATCATTCGACTCTGTCGGTATTTCATTTCAGACATTTGTCAAATTGTTGTATAACTCCTGCAGGCAACACCAAAATATTCTAATAAACCAAAGACAACATGGACGTTGCCATGATTATACACAACCACCCGCCATATTGGGCAAACATTTATTCCTCTATTTAGTATTAAACAATTATGTTTCAGTTCGAAATTATAGATATAAAGTGATAAGCATTAGTGTAATTGTGTGTAAATATAGGATTTGTGGAAGATTTAACGCAGATAAGTTTAGTTTTCCATCTTGAAAATCTAGACATGCTTTTGATCTTTATTAAAATATGAATCAAATACGAAGCCCGTAGAAATTGCGTAACTACGTACTATGCACGATAATCAGAATAAAATTTGCTGCGCAAGTAATGCAATAGCTCTATGTCACAGTGAAGAAGTTTGTCATATACCTGTGTATGAAATTCACAATGGCCGATATGTAAGTAAACAAGATGACTGTGTTGTGTTGGTTATATATTCTTCACTTCGTCTATACAATACATAAGAAATAGTTTTCTTGCAATAAAGTAGAATCATGTAACAGAATAGTTGTATAGTTGACAAAAACTGAATCTTCCACTGACGCAAATGTTCTATAGCGGCTGCAAGAGGTTTACACTTTTGTTGTATAACTGCTACCTGCAGCTTTTATACAACCTCTTATATGACTGAAGTGTCCTATTAGGTGTGCCCATTCCTCTTGTATAGCTGTTCTAAGAGGGTTGTGCCAATGTTCTTATAGTATACAATGCTGTTTAAGGATACTGTATAATCATTCTTGCAAATCTAATAGGAGTGATAATTGTTAGTTGGGAATGAAGTGAAAAAGTCCGTTGAAGAATTGGATAAGAAAATAAACAAGAATATAAAAAAAATACAGAACAAACAAAAACTATGACAATAATTGATAATTGAAAGTTATCATATGAAAATTCAGACTCAGGCAAGCTGAAAACCTTTTCTTTAGAACAGGGGCATTACAAATAAACATATAAAACTGGAACAGATAGTTGAAAGTCCAGGGTGTGACTCGATTTTTTGTTTTTATCAAAATCAATACATTTTTAGCTGAATATTGAAATGTCTGACTGTGTATAAAAAACCTATGAGTTCTTTTATTAGCAAAATAGATTGATTGTGCCCCTTCTTGTGTTTTTGGTTAATTTTTTTATATATTCAAATATTTTTTTAGCAACCGATGTGACAAAACTTTATTTCACAAAATAATGAATTATTTATTATTATTTATTATTATCATTTATAATTATTTCCTAGTATTTTATTAAGTGCAACGTAATAAGGTATATTATTATTTCGCAATGATATGAATAAAAGGGAAAAATAATGGTATGCACCCTATTTAGTTTTTTCAATAATTTTTTAATCATTTAATTCCACCAACTGACGTTATGCGACAACATAATAATAATAATAATCATAATAATTTATTCATCCTGTGGATCACAAAGTGATATAGGATAAGTCAATTGAATATTTGCATAAACAGAATTGCCTACATACATAAATGACATTCAAAATGTCAAATAAAAACACGAGGTGTATAAACATGAAAACAAATTAAAATACAAATTAACAAATTAAAATTGAACAATACATTAAAACAATTAAAAAAGACTATCACTCATTAAAAACTCTTCTATAGAGTAGAAAGCTTTATCAAGTAAAATTTGCCTGATTCTTTTTTTAAATAATATCAGCGGTAGTGATTTACAATCAATGGGTAGTTTGTTGAACAGTTTTATTCCCATGTATTTGGCACTCTCCTCCGTTCTAGACAACCTATGTGCCGGCACCTCCAATACTTCTCTGTTTCTGGTATTATAAATTCCAGAATTTATAGAACTAAAATTGTTCAGGTGAGATTTGACGTAAATCAATATATTCAATATATATATACTGAAGGCAGCGTCAAAATCTTCAAATCTGTGAATAGTTCCCTGCAACTAAAGCGCCTTCCCACCTTTGCAATAGTTCTAATAGCTCTTTTTTGTAATATAAGAAGCCTTTGTAACTTGGAGGATGCTCCCCATGATAGTATAGAGTTAATAATTGAGCAAAATGATCGCTAACATTATTGTTTACTACAGCAGTATCACACTTTACATCCACCCCTACACAAATATTGTCTATGCAATTAGATCCTCGCGTCGGTTGTTTGATAACAGGCTTCAGTGAATATGAGCTTAAAACATCCAACAGACAATTTAAATCTAAAGAGTTTTTGTTAAAATTTATGTTAAATTCACCACAAAGGACAATACCACATTTTTTACATTTAATGTTTAAAATATTTAAAAGGTCTTCAAGTTTTTCTAAAAAAATTTTAAAGTCGGCATCAGGACTTCTATACAGAGAAACAATAACCGAATTGAGGTTTTCGGTTATAACTTGAATTCCACTACATTCGAAATGCTTATCAACTGAAATATCATTCAAATAGTCTAGATTATTGTATTCTAGTCCTGCTTTGAGGTATATGCATGTCCCGCCATGATGAAAAAACTTTCTACAGTATGAAGTTGCTAAAATGTACTCGTGTATATATAAAGACATAATTTGGTCAGAATTTGCCCAGTGCTCAGAAACACAAAATATATCACAGTTATTTTCATTTAGAAACACTTCAAGCTCAAGTAGTTTGTTACTAAGGCATTGCACATTTTGATGAATTATTTTTAAACTATTTGAGTTATTTCCATTAAAAATACAACCATTTTCATTGAATTGTTCACTACATTGATTATTTGGCGCTCTATCAAAAAAAAGCTTGCACTTTGATGAGGGGGTTGTATCAATTACTCTCAATACTATATTTGTGTGATTAGTGTACTTCATAAATTCGTTTGCTACCATTTTGAGTACCGCTATCGGGTTAGACACGTTAGTCTTAAATTTGAGTGATATATTGGTATACGTATTATAAGACCTGCTTTAAAGGGAAACGGCTGCTATTATGCAAATGCACTAAATTTGACTTTCCATTTCCATTAGAAATTATAATGTTAATATAGAAAAATCTAATATGGAGTTCCAGACTCGTCATTTTAGCATAGTTACGTAATACACAGAAGGTACATCCACTAAACGTCCAGACCTGGATATCTCTTCTTTGTGGAAGTCAAATTTAGGGGATTTGTATATTAATTTTTTTTTTACTTTTAAGCGGAACTGATGTTTACAGAAAAAGGTAAATAGGGTGCATCACACTAATTTATAAATCTCGTAGCTTTTTTTTCAGATATCAAAAGGTCTCGATCTATACCACCTACCGCTTCACTATGTTTATTTAAGTACGGAACACCCTGTACATGATTTGATTCGGCCAGACAATGGAGTTATACAGAGTGTAAACGTTATGATAGTCATTATTTAAATGGATGATAGAGGCGGTTAAAAAAGTTTCATATAACATGGGGGTCAAAACGGCATTTTTTTAGAGAAAAGTAAAATAAAATATGACAACGCCGCAATGCCAGACGCAAATTACGATGGAACGCAGTGTAAATAAAGATGGAGTTTGTTATTTTTGGCTCTTAGGTATTATTTCATTATTTGATACTGTACTTGTAAAATGCAAACAAAAAACGGACTTACCACTAACAGTCTCAGCGCTTCACCTGGTGTGTGAAAGTTTATTGAACGTATTAAAAAAACCACTTATAAATAGGAAACACAATTTTGATACATATACTAAGTGACATATAAATCCGAACACCCAGTTTAAATGGTTTTATTTTAATAAAATTTTGTATAAGTACTTAATGATGCATAATAAGTAAATGATAAAAATTTCAAAATGATTGCACTGCTTTAAAGCCGTTTGACCTTTAATAATGTGTGGATGCACCCTGATGTGCTACGCATTCTCCAACGCGCCTAGGCATGCTTCTGATCAGGTGGTCAATGTCCTCCTGTGGTATCTCATTCCAGGCAACCACCAACTCCTCTCGAAGTGCTTCTAGAGTCTAAGGAGGACGTTGCAAAGTGAGCAATCTCCTACCCATCATATCCCACACGTGCTCAATTGGGGATAAGTCGGGAGATCTTGGTGGCCATGGTAACAATGTGACATCATTATGTTGAAAGCAGTCTATTGTGACTCTTGCAACATGTGGTCGGGCATTAACAAAATCGAGACTCATCACTAAAGACAATTACATTCCTGATCCCAGAGTGACCGTTGTCTGCACCACTCAAGGCGATTACGTCGGTGTTCTCGAGTTAAAGGGAGGACCCAGTGTGGCCGGTATGAAAACAAGCCAAAACTTCTCATTCGTCGGTAAACACTTCGCATGCCAATAGGTCTTCCGTGTTCTGCAAACCATTCATTTGCAATGGACCTGGTAGTGGAGAAACGGTCCCTTAAGACCAATAATCTTAGGCGGCGATCTTCACGGTCTGTTGTTCTACGGCGGCGTCCAGTGCCCCTTGCTCTTTGCGTACGGCCTTCTCGAAGCCATGCCTAACTACACCTAACCACAGTGTCTACACTTCTTTGCACTCTAACTGCAACTGCCCGAAAAGAAAGTCCAGCTTCCCGAAGTCCCACTATACGGCCCCTATCAAACTCACTAAGTTGACGAAATCGTACAGGTCTCCGTACTCTAGGCATCGTAACCGATCGTAAAGGATGTCAAGAACCAAAATTCGCCAACGTTGATTCTTTACTGCGGCTGAAATATTCATTTTTAGAGCGTTAGTGAATAAAAAAAAAGCAGTATAAAAACCGGAATGTCCAACTGATAAGGCTGAAAATTTTTTCACTTGTTATTTACAGTAAGATAAATACATTCACCAACTTTTATTAAAATAAAACCATTTAAACTGGATGTTCGGATTTATATGTCACTTAGTATACATTGTTTTTCTTTTCAAAACCCACACCGCGCCTTTTTTGTTTTGAAAGAAGGTGTTCAAAATGTCGTTCTCCACTTTCCACACAAGCCTCATCACGACGAACCCAGTTTCTTCTTACTCTAGGTCCTCGAAGTTGTCCTTTTATTATTTCAGCCGCATTAAATTTTTTTTCGCGAAGTTGTGCTTCAGCTGTCATTGGACCAGCCCCATAAACCATCCCTTAAGTTCTCCCCAATACCAGAAATCCATCGGATTAAGGTCAGGAGATCTTGCTGGCCATTTTCGAGGATCAGAAGCATTTCGACCGATCTAGCGATTTGGATAATGTTCATTTAAATTATGAATGACGCCTCTAAAAATGTGTGGTGGTGCCCCGTCATGAAGAAAGCGCAAATTCTGTCTCCGTTGTAATGGCATGTTGTCTAAGGCCTGTTCCAATAGTTCTGGTAGGTTATTGGCTAGAAAGCTAAGGTAGCCTTCTGCTGACAACTTTGGGGGTAACTCGAAAGGGCCAATTACCTGATCGTAAAGAATACCCGCCCAAATATTTATTTTAAAACGTTGCTGGAAATGACCTTCACGAATGGTATGAGGATTTTCTTGGGCCCACCTGTGAGTATTATGGAAATTTAATATCCCGTCCGTCGCAAGAATGTGTTTACAAAAATCCGGATTTTCAATGTTTTTGTGCAAAAACCACTGACAGAATGTTAGTCTGCGAGGATAGTCTTCTGGTAACAAGGCCTGCACTCGTTGTACATGGTACGAGCCTCACCGTAAACTAACAACATGTCGGCGACTCTTGAACATTGTAAACCGACACGACGACGTACGCGAACAAAAACAAAACAACACGCCCGAACCCCGATAACTAACCACTGTTACCGTTTGCGATCGATTGCCGGTTCGATAATTGTGATGAAATGCCGACGCTGTTGGAAGGAGAATTTCGAGATCCACAACTGTTGTCATGTGTGCTTTAAATATTTAATTTAATGAAACTTACTGACTACAAAGTTTGGCTTAACTTAATGCCATTTGTTTGTTAATTACCCAATTGAAAAACGTTTGAGATTAGATTATAACAATTATTAAGATTGTCGTGATTGTGGTCGATATAAGGCACTTAAAGTTGTAAACTATAAAGCCATTTAGACAAAAATCTATTGACTTTTGAACCATGGGTCATATGAACTTTTTGACTTGTTTTCACCTCCCTTATGACTCATTTCAATAATGACTACCATAACGTTTGCACCCTGTATAGCATAGACATAGTCCAAAGCGACCACTCCTAGAGCAGTGGCGTGTGATACGACGACACGATACACTTGTTTTCATTTCGATACCCAGCTATAGAGAACAAGAAATTTTAGATTCCAATAATAAGTTACTATTTGCCTTCAGTTACATCTGATTCGTGTTTCTTATAAGAACGTATCTTCTAATTTTTCAATGAAACTCTACAGACTCCGGTGGTAACTGTCCAACAAACCGAAAGGGGCGATAGGTGGGAGAAAGAACAAAGAGTCTCACCTTCTGGAAGGTCGTCAGCGAGCAGACAACAGAGCCATCACAGGATGCAAATGAGGAGGTCGCCAGGGAGATCACCTGTCGGTTCAGACACCAATAAGCCACCCGGTAAGGCTTTCTGAATTCAATTTTATTTAAGGATCTTACTAAAACTGTAAAGGAGGGTTAGAAATAGCTAGGTACGTTTTAAAAATGCTCGGTTAAGAGAGTGCATCGAGCACTGCTTCCAATTTATGGGCAATTTGTTCGGCCTACTGAGGGAGCTATTCGGAAGCTTGTGACTAAATTTCGAACCCAATTTACATCATTGGACATTAAACCACCAACACGCAGACGTAGTGTGAGGACTGAAGAAAATATTGCGGCTGTATCCGCCAGTGTTAGAGATGACCGTGAAATGTCGATTCGCCGCCGTTCACAGCAATTGGGCCTCTGTTACTCCACTACGTGGAAAATTTTGCGACAGGATTTGGGTGTAAAACCTTATAAGATACAGCTGGTGCAAGAATTGAAACCACACGACCTCCCACAACGTTTCTCATTTGGTGAATGGGCGCTGGCAAAGTTAGAGGAAGATCCACATCTTTATCGAAAAATTGTGTTCAGCGACGAAGCTCATTTCTGGTTGAATGGGTACGTTAACAAGCAAAATTGTCGCATCTGGAGTGAAGACCAGCCAGAAGCATCGCAAGAGCTACCTATGCATCCCGAAAAAATCACTGTTTGGTGTGGATTATGGGCCGGTGGCATCATCGGGCCGTACTTCTTCAAAGACGACAATGGCCGGAACGTAACTGTGAATGGCGAGCGCTACCGTGCGATGATAACAAACTTTTTTTTACCCAAAATGGAAGTTCTGGACTTGGCTGACATGTGGTTTCAACAAGACGGTGCCACATGCCACACCGCACACGAAACAATGGCCCTATTGAGAGGCGAGTTCGGTGAACAGTTTATCTCACGTTTGGGGCCCGTCAATTGGCCGCCTAGATCGTGTGATTTAACGCCGTTGGACTATTTCTTGTGGGGCCATGTTAAGGTTAATGTCTACAGGGATAAACCAGCAACGATTGAGCAACTGGAAGCCAATATTGAAGCATTTATTCGTGAGATACCGGCCGATATGTTGGAGAGAGTGTGCCAAAATTGGACCTTGCGCATGGGCCATCTAAAGCGGAGCCGCGGCCAACATTTACATGAAATAATCTTTAAACATTAAATTATATCGACCGTTCTATCGACTCAAATAAAGATTTAATCGTTTTTTCAAATTTTTTGTTTTTTTTTTGAAAATCAAATCCTATACCTCTTAAAAAATCACCCGTTATTAATAACATAAAATAAGATAAGTGCTTTCTTCACCAGTATGAAACGTGAAGAGATAGTTAATGTTAGGAAAAGTATACAAATCAGAGGTAACAATGTGGTTGGTCTATTTACTTTTTCCAATAAATTATACTGAGTGCCAAAAAAGGCAAACACCTACGTATGTTTATTAGAATTCAATAATTTTTTACATATCGATTTGTTTTGCCATGAACAACAAGTGATAAAATTGTCAGGCTTTTCTGTTAAACTTTTGTGGTTGCGTGTACTGTTTGGTGATAAAGAACCATTCAGTTTTCGTACATTTACGGTGTCAGTTAAATGTTTGCTGTGGTGTAGAGAAAGAATTCTATGGGATCAGGAATGAAATCAGGTGGTCTTTAGTGACGAATCCCGCTTCTGTCTGGGGATGCACGATGGTTGGGGCAAGAGTGAGAAGGCGATGTGGTGAAAGACGTGACCCACAATTTGACAGAGAGCGTCACGATCACCACACCGTGGGAGTTATGGTATGGGGTGCTATTGCTTATAATAATAAAAATAATAATAATAATAATAATAATAATAATAATAGTAATAATAATAATATTAATGTTTTACATGGATGACATCAAACTGCTCGCAGAATCAAAGCAGCAGCTAACTTCGTTGATTACCACCGTTAAATTGTTTAGTAACAGCATATGCATGGAATTCGGTTTAGAAAAGTGTGCAGCTGTTAATGCCAGCAAAGGACGCATCATTAATATGGGCGAGATAATAACTGACATCGAGGAATTGGTTGAAGGCGATTCGTATAAATACTTAGGGCTCAAACAGCAACTGGGACTAAATCACAGCGAAATCAAAAAGGATTTAATGGAAAAATATAGAAAACGCCTTGTAAAACTGCTAAACACCAAGCTGAATTCCAAAAATATGATATCAGCCATTAATGCATGGGCAGTCCCAGCCCTAATTTAGTCTTTTGGTGTCGTTAAATGGAGCAACACCGATCTGGAAGAACTGGATAGGCTAACAAGGAGGTCCATGACAAAGTTTTGTATGCTCCATCCTAACTCTGCTGTGGAGCGGCTCTACCTGCCCCGCAATGAAGGCGGCAGAGGACTAATCAACGTATCCCAGATGTGCCACACACAAATCATGCATCTTCGGGAGTATTTCTTAAACCAAAATAGCGCTCCAGTACAACTAATCAAAGAGGCAGATTGCAACGCAACTCCCCTGTATATGTCACAGTTGCAACATCCATCCAGATGCAATGCAACAAGAGAAAGGTTGCAATCTTGGAAGAACAAACAATTGCATGGCAGGTATCCGTCTCAAATGTAGAAAGTTGGTATTGACAAAAAAACATCGTTCTCGTTTCTCCAGCGTGGTTTCTTACACCCAGAGACTGAAGGGTTTATCTGTGCTATACAGGATAAGGTTATCCGCACAAGAAATTATGACAAGCATATATTGAAGAACCCTATCATTGATAAGTTCCGTAAGTGCGATACAGTAGGCAAAACAATCGAACATGTCACAGGAACATTCCCTAACCTGGCCAAAGATGCATACTTAGGCAGACACAACAAAGTAGCCGCAGTAATACACCAGATAATCGCCCACAAAGAAGGTCTAATAAAAGCAAAGGTGCCCTACTACAAATATCACCCTGTGTCCGTGGGACCGCCCAATAACCACTGATAGGCGCATAGAGCATAATCGACCTGATTTAGTCCTTATAGACAAACAGAAACAAACGGGAATCATAATCGATATTGCGGTTCCACTTACGCATAATCTTAAGTCCGTGGAAACTGAGAAATACTCCAAATATCAAGACCTCAAAATAGAATTAGCACGGATGTGGAAGTTAAACGAAGTAATGATTATTCCCATCATCATGTTAGTGGAAGGGGTGGCCACGAACGCTTTGTCGGAGAATTTGAAAATCTTGAACCTTCCAAAGGGTACATATATACAACTGCAGAAGGCAGTGATCCTCGACACTTGTCGGATTACAAGAAAGTTTTTATCGATATAGGAAATTGAGGGCGGGTCATGATGAATTTAATTCCCACCCAGAGCCACCACCTTTAAACATCATTCGAGGTGGCCCAGATACTACCAGCTTAAGCTGTGAAAACTCAGGAAAATAATAATAATAATAATAATAATAATAATAATAATAATAATAATAATTCACATACTATTCCAAAAACCCGTTATCTGTAAAAACTATCCTTGGTTGGGGTGAACTCCCCCTCAAAGATAGTACACCACCATACGTGAGAACTATGAGGATAATAATAATAATAATAAACAAATTTATTCACAATTACAACCAGTAATTACAGTAACTCATTCAAATAATAAATGTAATTGCAAAAAGGGCCAACATACTGGAAAAAACTGATACAAGTGCTGACCCGATTGAGGCAAAAATAATGAGCATTATGCCGTGAGAATTTTAAGCGAAGTTGAGGAAGAAAAAATATATATGGTTGAGGTTAAATAGACAAAAATACAGAAAAACAGTATAATGTTAATTAATATATGCGTACATCATTTCATTTTTCAGTTTGTAGTAGAAACTTTTTGTAGTTGACTTTGAATGATTTGGAAGATGGGTTCTTAAAATGAAAGGGAATATCATTATACAGGGTTTGTCCGGAAAGTAATAGGACTCATTTTCTTCCGCCATGACTGTACTTCGGAGTGTGCGCGCACCGACTGGATTCGGTAGAGGTCCTTCCTAGCTAACGAATGAGTAGATGGTCAGTTGTCTCCGAGCACCTGGAGAGTCAGGACAGGCATTTTCGCGCGACGTGTTTCTGTGAGTGGTGCAAACCGAAAATGCAGCGTTCGTTAGAGCAGAGGTACGCGATTAAGTTCTGTGTGAAACTCGGTAAATCTGCGACAGAGACGTTTGATATGATCAAGCAGGCTTACCCAGGTGTTGCTTTAGCAAGAAGTGGTGTGTTTCGGTGGCAAGAGGCCTTTTTGGAGGGCCGGGAAGAGGTCGCTGATGAAGACCTTCGACTTCGACAAACACCGATAATGTGACTCGTGTGCGCAAAGTTTTGAACTCAGACCGTCGACTAAGTATTCGTTTAATTGCCCAGATGTTAAATTTACCAAAATCTGTAGTTCATGACATTGTGACACAGCATTTGAATATGCGCAAGGTGTGCGCGAAGATGGTCCCAAAAGTGCTCACTGACGACCAGAAATTGCGGCGAGTGGAAGTGTGCCAAGAAAATTTGAACATGTGTGGAAGTGACCCCCATTTTTTGAATAACGTAATCACAGGTGACGAGTCGTGGATCTTTGAGTATGATCCCGAGACAAAAAGGCAATCTTCCGAGTGGCACACGACGGCGCCTCCTCGCCCAAAAAAGGGAAGAATGAGCAAATAAAAAGTGAAAACGATGACTGGAAGTTGCACCACGACAACGCCCCAGCTCACACCGCCTTTCTTGTGAACAGCTACCTGACCAAGGCCGGCATCCCAACGCTTCCGCAGCTGCCCTACAGCCCAGATGTGCCCCCCCCCGGACTTTTTTTTGTTTCCTCGCCTGAAAACGCCGATAAAAGGCAAGCATTTTGAGACGACAGAGGGGATCCAAGCAGCATGCACCGCGGCTCTCAAGGCTATTCCGGAGAATGCCTTCCGTGACGCCTTCAATGCTTGGAAATCGCTCTGGCAGCGCTGCATCGAGAAGGAGCCTATTTTGAAAGTTTTTAAAGAATTGTAACGATTGGCTCAATAATTTTTTTTAAATCGACTCAGT